CTTGGCGACCCCCCCGGGTTTCCCGCCACGGCCGTCTTTGCCGCCTCCGCAGCCTGCTGCTATGGACTCTGGAGCTGGGACTACTGGAGCTGGGACTGGGGGTGGTGAGTCTAGGGGTGCCCGCTCTCCTCGTCTGGCTACCCCCCCCCGGGTTCCCACCTCTGCCGTCTTCGCCGCCTCTGCAGCCTACTACTGTGGACACTGAGGGTGCTGAGACTGAGGGTGCTGAGACTAAAGGTGCTGGGATTGAGGGTGCTGAGCCTAAAGTTGCTGACTCTGGGGGTGCTGAGACTTCGGGTGCTGCGAGTCCTTCTGGAGGTCCTGGAGCTGGAGGTACTGGAGCTACTAGGCCTGGAGGTCCTACTGGAGGTACTAGAGGTACTACTAGTGCTGGAGGTACTGGAGCTGCTGCTGGTGCTGGAGGTGCTGGAGCTGGAGGTACTAGAGGTGCTTCTGGTACTGGAGGTGCTAGAGCTACCACTACTGGAGGTACTGGAGCTGGACAGCCACGGCAGCCTGCTCTACTTGAGACGCTCTTGCCGCAGGCGATTCGTGCGTGGGTCGTTCTGCAAGGCAGTCCTGGTGGTGGAGGGTACGGTCCTGCTGGTGCTGGAGCTACTAGTCCAGGAGGTGCTGCTGGTGCTGGAGGTGCTGGAGGTACTACTGGAGGTACTAGAGGTGTTGTTGGTGCAAGAGGTACTAGAGCTGCTGGTGCAAGGGGTACTGGAGCTGCTTCTGGTGCTGTAGGTACTGGAGCTGCTAGTACTGGAGGTGCTGCCGGTGCTGGAGGTACTGGAGCTGGAGGTACTGAAGCTGCTGGTGCTGGAGGTACTACTGTTTCTGGAGGTGCTAGAGCTACTGGCACTGGAGGTGGTGGTGCTACTGGTGCTGGAGCTGCGGGAGCTGCTGACCCTAGAGGTGCTGGTGCTGCTGGTGCTGGAGGCGTTGGTGCTGGAGGTCCTGGAGGTGCTAGAGCTACTGGTCCCGGAGGTGCTCGTAGTGGAGGTATGGGAGCTACTGGTGCTCTTCGCCACCTTCTTAGTCTTCCGCCAGGTGCTACTGACTTCCCTGTGGCAGGTACTACTTCTCAGTTATTGTTTCGATCGGCGGACCAGTTACAGCCGCCGGTGCTACCGCTCTCCCCACTGCCTGCTCCTGCTCCTTATACTGCGGTGTCAGAGTCTCTGACTAAGCGTCCAGAGCCTGAGACTCGTGCGTCCACCCCTGAGCACCGAGAGCCTGAGTCTAGCTTTGGCCTTCAACCTGAGCCTAGAGCTGTTGTCCGTGCTCGTGTTCCTCGTGTTCAACGTCCGCGTGCTCCGGCTGTCCCCGGCACTCACGATATGACACTCCGTCCTTCCTCTGTTCCTCAGCGTGTTGTCCTACCGTTACCTCCTACGTCCTCTCTGCCTGACGTTGCTGACCCTCCGTCTGACCTTGCTCGTGCGTCCAGTCCGACTGTTACTCGCCTTCTTGCTACGGTTGTGACGGACCCTACGCTCTTGTCTCCTGTTGTGTCTGCTCTCGTAGCTGAGCTCGTTGACTTTGCTGCTGTGTACCGCCTAGACTACCTTGCGAGTCTTGTCTCTGACCCTATCCCTGCCTGTCCTCCGTCCGTCGGGGTGAAACTGCTCTTGGATGTACTGCCCTTGGCTGTGACGTTCTTGAGGACGGACAGGAGGAGCTGGAGTGCCTTGCTGCCGCTTCACCCCACCACGCGACCATGCTGCTTGCCCCTGAGGGAGACCCGGATGCACCAGACATCCCCACCCCACGCTCTTACAGAGAGGCGATTTCGGGTGAGTACTCCTTCAGTGGCAGACAGCCATGGACGCAGAGATGGCTTCCTGGAAGTCCACAGGCACCTACGTCGACGAGGTTCCCCCACCTGAGGCGAACATCGTCAGTGGCATGTGGATTTTCAGGGTGAAGCGACCGCCGGGTTCTTCGCCTCCCTTCAAGGCACGTTACGTTGCTCAAGGCTTCAGTCAGCGTTAGGGGATCGATTTCTTTCAGACCTTCTCCCCCACCCCGAAGATGACCACTCTTCGGGTGTTGCTACACGTTGCAGCTCAGCGTGACTACGAACTGCACTCCCTCGACTTCTCGACAGCTTTCTTGTAGGGTAGCCTTCATGAGGCCATCTGGTTGCACCGTCCACAGGGCTTCAGTTGGTCGTTTCCTGAGGCTACCCAGTGGAGACTACGGCGACCAGTGTACGGCCTGCGTCAGGCGCCCCGTGAGTGCCACGACACACTGAGGATGACACTTGCGGCTCTTGGGTTTGCTCCTTCGACTGATGACCCGTCGCTGTTTCTACGCACCGGCACTACTCTGCCGCCGTTCTACATCCTTGTGTACGTCAACGACTTGGTTTTTGCTACTGCCGACACTGAGGCACTGACCCTAATGAAGGCGGAGTTGCAGGAGAGACTTATCTGCACTGACCTGGGTGAGCTGCGGAGCTATCTTGGCTTGCAGATCACTCAGGACAGAGCACGGCGCACCATCACCCTGACTCAGTCACACATGGTGCAGCAGGTCCTTCAGCGCTTCCGCTTCACCTGGTCCTCGCCACAGTCCACTCCTCTGTCTACCGGCCACTCGCTCTCAGCTCCACCTTCAGACGAGTCCGTAGAGCCGAGTGGTCCGTATCCTAAACCCTTGTTGGTTGCCTCGTGTACCTGATGATGTGCGCACGACCTGACCTGGCGTACCCTCTCAGCCTCCTGGCTCGCTACGTGGCACCTGGTAGACACCGAAAGGTGCACTTTGATGCTGCGAAGAGGGTACTGCGTTACTTGTGCAGCACATCGGGCATGGGGCTCGTGCTTGGAGGACGGGGTTCGGTGGTCCTCACAGGACACTCTGACGCTTCTTGGGCCGATGACCAGATGACTCAGCGTTCGTCACAAGGTTACACCTTCAGTCTTGGCTCTGGTTCTGTCTTGTGGAGGTCGACTCGTTCTTCTTCTGTGCTTGGTTCCAGCTGTGAGGCCAAGATCTACGCTGGGGCCATGGCTGCACAGGAGCTACGCTGGCTGACCTACCTGCTGACCGGCTTGGGGGAGCGGCCTCGTTCTCCTCCAGTTCTGTACGTCAGCAACAAGGCAATGCTTGCTTTGTGTCGCGAGCAGAGACTGGAGCACAGAACAAAGCACTTGCTCTTCGCTTCTTCCTAACGTGTGAGTTGCAGCAGCGTGGTCAGCTGCGCCTTGCTTACGTGGCCTCTCGAGCCAACACTGCTGATGTCTTCACCAAGGCCCTTGGGTCTGGTGATCATCACCGTTTCTTCACTGCTCTTGGGCTTGTGCCCACTCTGCCTCACCTGTTAGTTGCTTGACTTGCTCTTGTTGTGCACTGCTATATTATACGTGCGTGTTTTCTCTTGCTAGGTTGTGATCAGTGTACTGCGTTGCTATTATATACGTCTGTATGAAAACTGGCCTTGTGGCCACTTGCTTGTGCTCAGAATGCGTGGTGACTTTGTGATCCACCCTGAGCTGTGTTCTCTTCTGCAGACTGGTCTTGTGACCGCTTGTTGTGTTAGTTGTCCCCTACTTTGCCTAAGGGGGTGTGTCAGATTACAATTGTATCTGTAGGCTACAGTAGGGTCACTCCTTAGTGAGTACGACACTTAAGGGTTAGGTTTCCCCTACTTGTACTCACCTCTTGCCTAGTTCAATGATTCATTCCTAGTTCTATTCCTGACACTACCGCATAAAAGCGTCTCCCCAGTTTGCTGGCGGTTGTCATTTAAGACAAGGAAATAACGTGTGTTTCACGTGCTCCTTATAGGATGTTGGCCATCTCGGCCATGTTTCAAGATAGCTCTATGGTATTATTCCTTGTACATTGATTAGTTTCAATATATACCTTAACTTCTGTATCTCTTGCCCTCCATTGGACGAGAATTTGATGTCAATGCATCTCTTTTTACAACTGACATTGTAGGTGTGCTACTCCCAAGCTAAGTAACGTGGATTTACCCTTTTTTCCTTCTACATTTAAACATCACTAGTCAAACTAAAAGCATCGTCGTTAAATCATATGATTTCTGCTGTAGTTATAAGGTATTAGGAACAAAGCTCACAAAGCTTGGATTGTTGTTTAGGTGCTAAAAATAGAACCCGCGAGCTGAGCGTCGCATTTGTGAAAGATCCGACTACCGAACAAATGCGAAGAGTGTAGCCTTATTTGTGGTGATACGTACAATATGTGATGATACAAGGTGCTGCTGGTTGCGCATTACTATTACTGTTGTATCAATAAATGATTTATTTGTTCACGGTATATGATATAATTTCTGATATTTTTGCATGCGAATTGGTATTCTACGCAATTTGGCCTTCATCTACTATTGAATTGCAAATGCAACCTGGTTTTGAAAATCTATCTGGTTTCAGGGGTACTCATATGTCGGTTAAATCATCTGTTCCTGACGCTTGTTTATATCTGAAAGCGAGTTGCGTGCTGCGAGGATGACCCCTTGGACTTCCTCGACAACATCCGAGCCTCGGAGCTGCCAGATAATCAATCCTCCGTGTCACTACAGTGTGCCTCTTTCGAGTGTGCTTTTTGCCACGCTTCTCATCTCACACTAGGAAGTAAGCTCCGCTATTTGCCACATCTTCAGCTTTTGTTCAGAAGCTGTGGCAGTAGCAGTAGCAAGCAGTCGCAAGTAACAGCAGCAGGAGCAGCCATAGCTTTCCCGTGCTTCTCCGCACGCGTGCATTTGCTCGTGCGACGGCTTCGTTCCATTAACAACTCGGCTCTCCGCGAATTTTCACTTACGAACCCTAATGGCACACGCTGCTTCGTGTTTGCGGGTTCCTACGGCCTCGCAATTTTGCATTCAATCCAAAGCTAGGCCGACCGATTGCCGAACCTGCGATGGCTGCACTCGGTCCCCCAGCCTCGGCGGAGCTTCGGCGTCGGCTACATTCGGTGCATCTGGTCACTCGAGCGCGTCATTGTTGTATTCACCTGCGCTTCGACCGATGCGTGGCGGTCCGCGTGGAATCGCGAGGTTGGGTTCGACGGGAGGTTCCCGCCGGCTGGTTTGTCGAAGCGCGTTGCTGGAAGACGAATCGGACGGAGAAAGGTGAGGGTACGGGAAGAGTTCGATGACGAATAACGGAATTCGTCAGTGCGTTGATACCAGTCGAGGTACTTCCTGCCAGCGTGTTTAATGTAGAGTTCGAGGTGTGTACGTGAGACGACGACGAAAGGTGAGGCGACGGAATCCGTTCAGCGTGATTATACTTATTCGAGGTGCTTCCAGCCAGCGTGTTATGTGGACGATTCCGACGAGGCTAAGTAAGACGTCGGGGAAAGGCGATGCGACGGAATCCGTCAATCAATTTCAGTCCCGGTCCCGGTGTTTCCAGCCAGCGTGGTAATGAGACCGAGTCGGAAGGGTTGGGTGAGAGGCGCGGAATGAGTACGCGTGTGCGCATCAGGACCAGCAATCGCTGCTGCGATAACGGTGATTCAGGCGTCTCAGAAATTGAGCTGGAAGTATCCCTCTCCCCTCTTTTCCCCGCACTCCTCTCCTCCCTCCGTGCAGCACGAGAATCTCACCAGCGCTGAAGAAAGCAGTGCCCGGAGCCAAGCCCGGGGAGCAGCAGGAGCTGGCAGGAGACCACCGCGTCAACTGCTGCTCTCTCTGATGCTCCTCTCAAACCCTTTCCAATCTACCCCCTTTCCCGTTCCGCACCCTCGCAGCGCCAGGGAATCACCAGCGCTGAAGAAAGCAGTGCCAGGAGCCAAGCCCGGGTAGCAGCAGGAGCTGGCAGGAGGCCACCGCGTCAGCTGCAGCTTCCTCTGACATTCCTTCCAATCCCTCCCACATCCACCCCCCCTTCCCCACTTTCATCCCCCGCCCTCCCCCAGCACCAGAGACTCACCAGCACTGAAGAAAGCAGTGCCAGGCGCCAAGCCCGGGGAGTAGCAGGAGCTGGCAGGAGGCCACCGCGTCTGCTTCTTCCTCTGATATTTCTGTCAGGCGCTCCCCCATCCATCCATCCCCCTTCCCCCGCTCGCATTCCCCCCTGTAGCGCAAGGGAAGCAGCAGCAAAGAGAGCAGTGCCGGGCGCCAAGCCAGGGAGCAGCAAGAGCTGGCAGGAGACCACCGCGTCCGCGGCTGCTGTGGCGGCCCTTCTGGACAGCGCTGCAGGCGCCACCGCTATAGGCAGCAGCGGAGCAGAAAAGGCTACAACTGCATTTGCTTCGAGTGCTGCTGCTACAGGCGGCTCTGCTACAGCCGGTGCTGCTGGGGGGGCTGCTACTGGCGGTGCGTCAGCAGCAGGGCCGGCGGCGGCGGCGGTGGGCGAGTTCTGCATCATAGAGGGGCCGGACGCGCTGCAGGACTTTGCTCGCATGCAGCTGACTGAGATCCGTGACAACATCACGTCCCGGCGCAACCGGATTTTCCTGCTGCTGGAAGAGGTGAGGCAGAGGGTAACGGGGCCAAGGAGGTGAGGGAGGAAAGGTATGCTGCTGCTGCCGCTGGTGCTGCTGCTGCTGCTGCTGCTGCTGCTGCGGCTGCTGCTGCTGCTGCTGCTGCTGCTGCTGCTGCTGCTGCTGCTGCTGCTGCTGCTGCTGCTGCTGCTGCTGCTGCTGCTGCTGCTGCTGCTGCTGCTGCTGCTGCTGCTGCTGCTGCTGCTGCTGCTGCTGCTGCTGCTGCTGCTGCTTCTGCGGCGGCGGCGGCGGCGGCGGCGGCGGCGGCGGCGGCGGCGGCGGCGGCTGCGGCGGCGGCGGCTGCTGCTGCTGCTGCTGCTGCTGCTGCTGCTGCTGCTGCTGCTGCTGCTGCTGCTGCTGCTGCTGCTGCTGCTGCTGCTGCTGCTGCTGCTGCTGCTGCTGCTGCTGCTGCTGCTGCTGCTGCTGCTGCAGCTGCTGCTGCTGCTGCTACTGCTGCTGCTGCTGCTGCTGCTGCTGCTACTGCTGCTGCTGGTGGTGCATGAGGTGGTGCGGCTGTGGGTTGTAGGACAAACGGTGCAGGGTTGGGAGCAGTGGTGGGCGAGTTCTGCATCGTAGAGGGACCGGACGCACTGCAGGACTTTGCCCGCATGCAGCTCACAGATATCCGTGACAACATCACCTCCCGGCGCAACCGGATTTTCCTGCTGCTGGAAGAGGTGAGTCACAGAGGGAGCAGGGGAAAGGATGGTGGTAGGCGCTGCAGGAGACCAGATTCGCCATGGTGGGGTGTCCCCCTTGTAACCAGATTCGTCAGCTCCACATGTCGCTGGGGATCACAAGACCAGAGGAGTGCCACTATTCGAGTCGATTCAAACCCCGTTTGCCATGTTGCCCCTCGTTCTGCCACCTTACCAGATTCGCCGGCTGCGTATTCAGCAGCAGATCAAGAACTCAGAGGAGAGCCGTTTGTTTCTAACGACTCGGGCACTTGTTTTGTATGTCTCCCTTCCGCCCCCTCCCTTCTTTGTCCCCCTTGTAACCAGATTCGCCGGCTGCGCATTCAGCAGGAGATCAAGAATGCAGAGGAGAGCCGCAACAGAGCAGCAGCAGCCGCCGCACGAGCGAAATTGGGAGGCCTGCCAGTGGAGGAGGAGGAGGAGATGCCCGAGTACCCCTCCTCGATTCCCTTCCTGCCCCCACTTGTGAGTGTTGAATTGAAACATCCTATGAGCCTTTTTCTGTGACGCTGCTGGTAGGTAGGGCAGCAGCAGCAGCTATTCTTCTTCAAAACACTTATTCAATCACGTGGCTATTCTTCATGTGACCGCCCTGCACTACCGGACTGCAGAAGACGGACACCTTCGCCTTCCTTGTGTGGCTGACCTAATGCTGCTTTTTCTCTTGCTTGTGCTGCTTTCCTGTTCTCCCCACATCCCCTGACTGCAGCAGAAAACGGACACCTTCAAGGAATATTACATCACGTTCGCCTTCCTTGCCTGACTTATTTCCTGGTTCCTCTGCTTTCTTTGTGTGACCTTCCTTTTGGTTCCCTTACCCCCTGGTTCTCCCCTGCACAACCGCAGAAAACGGACACTCTAAAGGAGTATTACATCACATTCGCCTTCCTTGTCGCCAGCCTCATCATTTTCGGTGGCCTTGTGGCGCCCACTGTAAGGGGGGTGTAGCAGTCGTGGAGGCGGGGATGAGGGGATTAATTACTGGCTAAGTTCGGGTTGGGTAGTGTGGGGTATTTCACTGTTTATGGGATCTTCTGTGAGGGGGATTCACTGTTCATCTGATGCACCATTCATTCGATATTGCTCTTCCATTTGCTGCCTAATGCCCCTCCCTCCCTCCCCCCGACTCTACCACTCTTCCTTGCCCCTTTGTAATGCCCGTCAAATCTTTTGTTCAACTTTCCCTCCCTCCCTCCCTCCTTCACTCTCTCCCTCCCTCCCTCGCTCCCTCCCTCTCTCCCTCCCGCCCTCTCTCGCTCCCCCTTTCCTTTGCTCCTATCATCAGCTGCAACTGCGGCTGGGCATGGGTGGCACGTCCTATGAGGACTTTATCGCCAGCATGCACCTGCCACGCCAGCTCAGGTAAGCTCGTGACTGAGAAGGTAGATTGCTGTCTATGAGGGGGGGTGGTGGCGTTATCAGTCTGTGCATCTTGTCTTGTGTCTGGGCATGGGTAAGTGGCACATCCTATGAGGACTTTATCGCCAGCATGCACCTGCCGCGGCAGCTCAGGTGAGACGCCCTGCCACAACAGCAGCATACGCCCTCTCAGATGCACTATATGAGTGAGTCAGTGCTGCTGTGACTTGTGCCTTCAAAATGGGTGTGTGGCACGCCCTACGAGGACTTTATTGCCAGCATGCACCTGCCCCACCAGCTCAGGTGAGCTAGTGAGAAGGGGAGCTGGTGCCGCTATGAGACAGGTGTGCAGCAGCATGCAACATGCATGGCTGGGCATGGGTGTGTGGCACGTCCTACGAGGAATTTATTGGGCTGGTGGGTGAGAGAGTGGGCACATGAGGGCTGGTGGGTGAGAGAGAGTGGGCACATGAGGGCTGGTGGGTGAGAGAGAGGGGGCACATGAGGCTGGGGGGAAGGGAAAAGGTACCCGTTACCATATATGCTCACTCCTCATGCATATGCCTTTTCCCTCTGCTCTCTATCAACTCTCCTCTGCTTCCCTCTTACTGCAGGCAAGTGGATCCCATAGTGGCCTTCCTCACAGGGGGGGGCGTGGGGGTGCTGTCACCATTGTCCTTTCCGAATGCTCCTTTCACCCCTCCTAACATCCCCTCCCTACTGTCTACTGTCTCATCACATGGTGTCTCAACAACACACCCCCGCCAAGTGGATCCCATAGTGGCCTCCTTCACAAAGGGAGCTGTGGGGTGGACGTGCTGTCAGCACAGCCACTTCTGAACGCTCCATGTCTTCCTTGTCTCCTCCCCATCCTGCAGCTAAGTGGATCCCATAGTGGCCTCCTTCACAAAGGGAGCAGTGGGGGTGCTGTCGGCACTGCTCTTTCTGAACACTTGTCGCCTTCCTTTTCCATCCTCTCATTACATCTACCCCTCCCATGCCAGCCAAGTGGATTCCATAGTGGCCTCCTTCACAGGGCGGGCGGTGGGGGTGCTGTCAGCGCTGCTGCTGGTGGTGGAGGTGATGGTCCCTCCACTGGTGGTCCATGTCTCCTCCGCTCCCACTCACTCCTCTGCCCCCCATGCTGCAGCCAAGTGGATCCCATAGGTGCCTCCTTCACAGGGCGGGCGGTGGGGGTGCTGTCAGCGCTGCTGCTGGTGGTGGAGGTGATGGTCCCTCCACTGGTGGTCCATGTCTCCTCCGCTCCCACTCACTCCTCTGCCCCCCATGCTGCAGCCAAGTGGATCCCATAGGTGCCTCCTTCACAGGGCGGGCGGTGGGGGTGCTGTCAGCGCTGCTGCTGGTGGTGGAGGTGATGGTCCCTCCACTGATGGTTCCTGTCTCCTCCGCTCCCACTCACTCCTCTGCCCCCCATGCTGCAGCCAAGTGGATCCCATAGTTGCCTCCTTTACAGGGCGGGCGGTGGGGGTGCTGTCAGCGCTGCTGGTGGTGGAGGTGCCTCACTGCTCACTGAGGTGGAAGGCAAATTAGTAACCCTGTCTCCTCCGCTCCCACTCACTCCTCTCCTCCCCATCCTGCAGCCAAGTGGACCCCATAGCCGCCTCTTTCACAAGGGAGGCCGGTGTGGGTGCTGTCGGCACTGCTGGTGGAGGAGGTGATGCCTCCGCTGCTGTTAATGGTGCCTCTTTCTTTCCTCTCATACCACCCCCTCCGAACCTTCCCTCACATTACAGTCAAGTGGATCCCATAGTCGCCTCCTTCACAGGGGGAGCGGTGGGGGTGCTGTCAGCGCTGCTGGTGGTGGAGGTGAACAACGTGAAGCAGCAGGAGCACAAGCGCTGCATGTACTGCCATGGATCGGGTATGTACTGCCATGGATCGGGTATGTACTGCCATGGATCGGGTATGTACTGCCATGGATCGAGTATGTACTGCCATGGAACGGGTATGTGTGTGTTGTGTGTGTGTGTGTGTGTGTGTGTGTGTGTGTGTGTGTGTGTGTGTGTGTGTGTGTGTGTGTGTGTGTGTGTGTGTGTGTGTGTGTGTGTGTGTGTGTGTGTGTGTGTGTGTGTGTGTGTGTGTGTGTGTGTGTGTGTGTGTGTGTGTGTGTGTGTGTGTGTGTGTGTGTGTGTGTGTGTGTGTGTGTGTGTGTGTGTGTGTGTGTGTGTGTGTGTGTGTGTGTGTGTGTGTGTGTGTGTGTGTGTGTGTGTGTGTGTGTGTGTGTGTGTGTGTGTGTGTGTGTGTGTGTGTGTGTGTGTGTTGTGTGTGTGTGTGTGTGTGTGTGTGTGTGTGTGTGTGTGTGTGTGTGTGTGTGTGTGTGTGTGTGTGTGTGTGTGTGTGTGTGTGTGTGTGTGTGTGTGTGTGTGTGTGTGTGTGTGTGTGTGTGTGTGTGTGTGTGTGTGTGTGTGTGTGTGTGTGTGTGTGTGTGTGTGTGTGTGTGTGTGTGTGTGTGTGTGTGTGTGTGTGTGTGTGTGTGTGTGTGTGTGTGTGTGTGTGTGTGTGTGTGTGTGTGTGTGTGTGTGTGTGTGTGTGTGTGTGTGTGTGTGTGTGTGTGTGTGTGTGTGTGTGTGTGTGTGTGTGTGTGTGTGTGTGTGTGTGTGTGTGTGTGTGTGTGTGTGTGTGTGTGTGTGTGTGTGTGTGTGTGTGTGTGTGTGTGTGTGTGTGTGTGTGTGTGTGTGTGGTGTGTGTGTGTGTGTGTGTGTGTGTGTGTGTGTGTGTGTGTGTGTGTGTGTGTGTGTGTGTGTGTGTGTGTGTGTGTGTGTGTGTGTGTGTGTGTGTGTGTGTGTGTGTGTGTGTGTGTGTGTGTGTGTGTGTGTGTGTGTGTGTGTGTGTGTGTGTGTGTGTGTGTGTGTGTGTGTGTGTGTGTGTGTGTGTGTGTGTGTGTGTGTGTGTGTGTGTGTGTGTGTGTGTGTGTGTGTGTGTGTGTGTGTGTGTGTGTGTGTGTGTGTGTGTGTGTGTGTGTGTGTGTGTGTGTGTGTGTGTGTGTGTGTGTGTGTGTGTGTGTGTGTGTGTGTGTGTGTGTGTGTGTGTGTGTGTGTGTGTGTGTGTGTGTGTGTGTGTGTGTGTGTGTGTGTGTGTGTGTGTGTGTGTGTGTGTGTGTGTGTGTGTGTGTGTGTGTGTGTGTGTGTGTGTGTGTGTGTGTGTGTGTGTGTGTGTGTGTGTGTGTGTGTGTGTGTGTGTGTGTGTGTGTGTGTGTGTGTGTGTGTGTGTGTGTGTGTGTGTGTGTGTGTGTGTGTGTGTGTGTGTGTGTGTGTGTGTGTGTGTGTGTGTGTGTGTGTGTGTGTGTGTGTGTGTGTGTGTGTGTGTGTGTGTGTGTGTGTGTGTGTGTGTGTGTGTGTGTGTGTGTGTGTGTGTGTGTGTGTGTGTGTGTGTGTGTGTGTGTGTGTGTGTGTGTGTGTGTGTGTGTGTGTGTGTGTGTGTGTGTGTGTGTGTGTGTGTGTGTGTGTGTGTGTGTGTGTGTGTGTGTGTGTGTGTGTGTGTGTGTGTGTGTGTGTGTGTGTGTGTGTGTGTGTGTGTGTGTGTGTGTGTGTGTGTGTGTGTGTGTGTGTGTGTGTGTGTGTGTGTGTGTGTGTGTGTGTGTGTGTGTGTGTGTGTGTGTGTGTGTGTGTGTGTGTGTGTGTGTGTGTGTGTGTGTGTGTGTGTGTGTGTGTGTGTGTGTGTGTGTGTGTGTGTGTGTGTGTGTGTGTGTGTGTGTGTGTGTGTGTGTGTGTGTGTGTGTGTGTGTGTGTGTGTGTGTGTGTGTGTGTGTGTGTGTGTGTGTGTGTGTGTGTGTGTGTGTGTGTGTGTGTGTGTGTGTGTGTGTGTGTGTGTGTGTGTGTGTGTGTGTGTGTGTGTGTGTGTGTGTGTGTGTGTGTGTGTGTGTGTGTGTGTGTGTGTGTGTGTGTGTGTGTGTGTGTGTGTGTGTGTGTGTGTGTGTGTGTGTGTGTGTGTGTGTGTGTGTGTGTGTGTGTGTGTGTGTGTGTGTGTGTGTGTGTGTGTGTGTGTGTGTGTGTGTGTGTGTGTGTGTGTGTGTGTGTGTGTGTGTGTGTGTGTGTGTGTGTGTGTGTGTGTGTGTGTGTGTGTGTGTGTGTGTGTGTGTGTGTGTGTGTGTGTGTGTGTGTGTGTGTGTGTGTGTGTGTGTGTGTGTGTGTGTGTGTGTGTGTGTGTGTGTGTGTGTGTGTGTGTGTGTGTGTGTGTGTGTGTGTGTGTGTGTGTGTGTGTGTGTGTGTGTGTGTGTGTGTGTGTGTGTGTGTGTGTGTGTGTGTGTGTGTGTGTGTGTGTGTGTGTGTGTGTGTGTGTGTGTGTGTGTGTGTGTGTGTGTGTGTGTGTGTGTGTGTGTGTGTGTGTGTGTGTGTGTGTGTGTGTGTGTGTGTGTGTGTGTGTGTGTGTGTGTGTGTGTGTGTGTGTGTGTGTGTGTGTGTGTGTGTGTGTGTGTGTGTGTGTGTGTGTGTGTGTGTGTGTGTGTGTGTGTGTGTGTGTGTGTGTGTGTGTGTGTGTGTGTGTGTGTGTGTGTGTGTGTGTGTGTGTGTGTGTGTGTGTGTGTGTGTGTGTGTGTGTGTGTGTGTGTGTGTGTGTGTGTGTGTGTGTGTGTGTGTGTGTGTGTGTGTGTGTGTGTGTGTGTGTGTGTGTGTGTGTGTGTGTGTGTGTGTGTGTGTGTGTGTGTGTGTGTGTGTGTGTGTGTGTGTGTGTGTGTGTGTGTGTGTGTGTGCCTCTTGAGTCAGCTCAAGGGTCAACGTGGGGGTGTTGTCAGCGCTGCTGGTGGTAGAGGTGAATAACGTGAAGCAGCAGGAACACAAGCGCTGCATGTACTGCCATGGATCAGGTATGTGTGTCTGCTCGCCTCGCCATGCATCCCATGCCTGTCACCGCCTTCCTTTGACCCGGTTGACTTCTGTTGACTTCTGTTGAATGCTCTCAACGTTGCTCCCCCAACTCCCCTTCTCCCGCCCTCCAGGCTACCTTTCCTGTGCCCGTTGCTACGATTTTTTAGGCGCCTCAAAAATCTTCTCCCGCCCTCCAGGCTACCTTACCTGTGCCCGTTGCTCCTCCACAGGCTCGCTCATATGTATGCAGCTGGAGGTGAGGGAGAAGCGTGCTTCTGTTGACTCGGTTGACTTCTTTGAATTTTATGGATCAGTCTCTCCCAACTCTTCCCTGCCTCCAGGCAACCTGGCGTGTGCACGCTGCGATGCCACGGCCTCGCTCATTGACATGCAGCTGGAGGGGGAGGAGCAAGTGTGCTTCCTTTGACTCTGCTGAATTTTGTTGACTGCTTCTGATATTGCGCTTTCCCCTCCCCTCTCCCCTTCATCTCCAGGCTACCTGGCCTGTGCGCGCTGCGCTGCCACGGGCTCGCTGATTGACGTGCAGCTGGAGGTGGAAGAGCAGGTGTGCTTCCCTTGACTCTGTTGAATTTTGTTGACTGCTTCTGATATTGCACTTTCTCCTCCCCTCTCCCCTTCATCTCCAGGCTACCTGGCCTGTGCGCGCTGCGCTGCCACAGGCTCGCTGATCGACGTGCAGTTGGAGGGGGAGGGTTCAGCACGAGGAGCAGCCAATGGGGCGCTTGCAGCGGCAGCTGAGGGAGCAGGAGCAGAGGGAGCAGTTACTGCTGGGCGGCAAGGCATGAAGGTGGCCAAGCGGTGTCCCAACTGTGCTGGTCTGCGCAAGGTGAGGAGGGGCGTGGGGATCGGAATGCGGGGCATGTGCATGCATGGGGTTGGAGAAATGGACGTCTGGGCTTTTGTTTGACAGATGAGGAACACTAGGGACAAGGCATAAGGGCGATCCGAGGCCTGAAATGTCTTAATAAGAATTTGCTGAGTGCTCGTGTTTTGAAAATATTCATTCAGCCTTGTATAATCTTCCTTTCATGTCATGTACCATTCATCCGTTCCCCACCTTCATTCCTTTGCCACATTCAGGTGATGTGCCCTACTTGCTTGTGCACGGGCATGGCACTTGCCACAGAGCACGATCCGCGTATCAACCCCTTCGAGTGATTGGTGGCGCCTGTTATTCGTAGCTTGCACAATGTTGTGTTTGAACACTATAAATACTTCATTTCATGTTAATCAATCTTGGCGTGCTGCTGATGTTTTCTTACCAATGATAGTACCACTGTGTTTGTTGACACGTTACGAATGAAACTTCGCGTTGAGACACATTCATTGTGTGGCTCTTCAGTCGGCTTCTATAGAGGATATCGTGGTTGCGCTTGTCCGATCTGGACCTTGCCATACCTCCTAGTGGTGAAGGCGACCGCGCCGGATCCAGCGGATACGGAAATGGTGGTCAATGTTGGTAGGGTGTGCCAGCACGATTACAGCTTCTCACGTTTCATTGGCTCTGCGGAACGAGCACGTGAAGCTCGTCCACGCTGGGCTCATGGAATCCCATCGCAGATATCTATCGCCACAGTAATGGCGGTGAGAGTGTCCCTTTCTTATCGCATCACTACAGTTTGAACGTTTCCGTTTGCACGGTTGAGGAACAGCTGTTTCTTGTGGCAGATGAGTCAACGGACTGGGTGCAATGCGAACCGACTGATGCACCAGACTCGATTGGATAGAAATTCGGAATTGAAACTGCACAAGTGCCATGCGCACTAGATGGAGATTTTGTACTTTTCATATGAGGTCAGGTTGCCTGACGTTCCGGGCAGAACTGACTCGTAAGTACAGTAAAGACTTTTACAAAGGTACTACACAGCCCAGATTTTGTATTTCGCGCCAGTAATAATGCAAAATGCGCTCATAACAATATCCGCGATCCGCTATGCGCCTCCACTGCGCAATTCTGCCAACGCGATTCGCACCAATTGTCGTCCCGAAATTCCAATTTCTTACATCCTCTCTGCACAGAATTGCCTTCACTGCAAAGCTGATCCTCTTACAAACGTATCAGCAAATTCCATGTGCTCCAAGATCCATTTCTGTTTCTTTTCCGTATCTCACGATATTCCCCTCCATTCCACGAATGTGAAGTCACCGCCATTTTACCCAAATCCCGCAAACCAGCTCAGGAAAGTCTCAAGCTGGACCTTGATGCATCCAAGAGACACATCAGACGTTGGAAGTGCGGTAGTACGATGGTATGATTCCGTGTGGCCGCGGCACATGCGACTAATAAGATTGAGGGTGACTCTCGCCGCCCCGTCGTCCCACGGGTGGGTCATAGCGACTTGCGGTCGTCGTATCTGTGCAAGTCTCATTGCAACGCCTGTCCTGCTCGCATAGCTCTTGAGAGCTTCGTTACTGAGGCGCGACGACGATCCACGATGGCCAACAGCCACGAGTTAGCGACGAGACGATCTTTGCATTCATGGGAGCAATGAAGGGCACAGCAGTCCAGAGCAGCGCATACCGGTAACAGACTATTACAACGATGCTCGGAAGATGGTAGTTCATTTTGCAACGATTTCCCATGTTACGGCTTGCAGTGACTGCATCGTCGTTCATAACCGCCCGCGTCCAGCGCGACAGCGTCAGTTCCGAGCTCCTACGACACGGAGTCTCGTTTGTTTGTTCTCCGTAGTTCGCTCAGTTATTTGAGATCACTCAAAAGGTCAGCTCGACAGCAGAGTCCAACGCGACTGCTTACGAAGCATTCACTCAGCTCATTGACTTAAACGACACTCTCACTCACGCCTGTCAGAAAGCCTTTGTCCACTCATAGTAGCGACGACTGAACTCAGCTGCAACGCAGGTTCGCTAGGCGCGTACACATCGATTTAAATTCGGGATTTTTTGTTCTTTTCTAAGTCTCCGAAGAGTCCCCGACTATAGAATGGAAAGCCTCGCGACGATCACAGCAGCGGAATCAGCAGCACCAGCAGCAGCAGCCGCCGCCGCAGCAGCAGCAGCAGCAGCGCGCGGCGGGCCCGATAACTCCCTCTTCCGCTACCGCGGCGTGCGGCAGCGCACGTGGGGGACGTGGGTGGCGGAGATCCGCGAGCCGCGGCGCAAGGTGCGCCTATGGCTTGGCTCCTTCGTGTCCGCGGAGCAAGCTGCGCGTGCGTACGACCGCGCTGCGCGGAAGCTGTACGGAGCGGAGGCCGTGCTCAACTTCCCCGCTACCCCGGCGCCTGCGCCTGCGCCGAACGGAAGTTCACGTTCCCCCTCCGCCAACGCCGAGAAACTTAAATCGTCTGTCCCGAGCGCCGCCGCGAGTGGCGGAAGTCGAATTGATCCCGTCGCGGTGTCACCGGTGGCTCTTGCGACTCACTCTCGAGCAAAGCCAATCGCCGTCCCCGATACAAGCACATCGTGGAGCTATCACCTCCGCAACGGCCTCCGCGACAGCGGCGGCGTTAACAGCTTCCCGAGGTTCTCAAACTTCCCAACTCCTGCCCCCACCGCTGCCCCTAGTGCTGCTCCTACAGCTGCTACTCCTCCAATTCCTACCGCTATTCCCACTGCTACTGCTTTCGGTGCCAGCGCCTGCGGCGGAACTAGCGGCCTTCCCAGCAGCCCGTCGCCATGGCTCGCGCGCTTCATGCTCGAGATCCAGGAGTTGCGCAAACTCGCCGCGATTCGCGGAATCGGCGCGCAGCAACCAATCACAAGCACCCCGTCAGCTGTCGCGACGACTCAATGCGGGACTATCGCGGCGGCGAGCCGCCAGACCCGCGAGGCGTTACTAACTCGTTCACCGCTCAATGGATTTCCCCTCGCGAGGCCCGACGCGGACGGGGCGGGATGCGCGAAGACGCCCTTCGAGGAAAAGATTTCGAGCCTTGAGGAGCACGCGTTGTTCCCGTTCTTCCTTTCCCAGCAGCAGCGAGCGGAAGGAGCGCACCAGGCGTGGCATTGCGAGCAGCTTCAGCAACAGCAGCACCTGTTGCAGCAGGTGAAGCAGCAACAGCTGAAGCAGCAGCAGAACCCTCCGCGCCTACCCCAGCAATCCTCACCCCATCGTCATGCGTGTCATTCCACACTGGAATCGCAGGCCTCCCCCAATTCTCCATCACCCTTCAGCCTGCTGCCAGCTCTTCAGGCGCTTACGGCGAAGCTCCCTGAAACAATTCCGGCAGCCTCTGCATGGGCGAGTCAGAGGACACGAGTGACTGAGGTGCTGGGAGCGATGCAGACGCTGCCGCCGTTCAGTCTGCCTGCGGCTGCTTCGCTGCAGAAGCCCCAGCGCTGTCAGCCGCCTGCCATCCCTGTTGCTCCATCACCGATGCAGCCGTCGGCATCAAACCCATCAGCACCGCACTCGACTGCATCGCACCCGTCAACACCACAATTGTCAGCAGCTTACCCACAGGTGAGCTCGCTCCCAACGTTGAGCAACCCCCAGCAGATTCTCCTGGAGCATTACATGAAGCTCTCCAAGCTCCATGTGGCAGTGCAGGGTTGTGACTCTGCAGCTACCCCTGCCACGTCACCAGGCACAGTCCAGGTGAATATAGAAGGGTCATCAGACATTGCAATGGCACCTGAAGGTGAATCCCTGGGCGTTCAGGCAGGAGGGATCGAAGCAGCATCGGAGGGGATGCATGGGGTGAGTGAGCAGAGCTGCATGAGCCCAGGGAAACGGGGGCGATGCGAGGAAGACCGTGGTGGAGATGGGTCCGATGCGTTGCAGGGTGATGTAAATGGTGGTGAGAAACGCGCGTGCCTGCGGGGAAATGGAAGCGAGGCAAACAAGAACGAGGGTTCAGAAGGGTTGGACGGGGGCAGCAGCAGCAGCAAGGTTCTTGAAGCGGGGGAGAGTAGTGGAGAGATGAGTCCTGAAAGCAATAGCTCCTTGGGAGAATGTGGGGCTGAGCTTGTCTCTATGGGTTCCGATGATGCGGATTTTCAGCTGGAGGGAGATGTGTGGGGAATGGAGGGGCTGGAAATGCTGCTTCCTGGACTTGGTGAGCAAGAACTTGCGATAACAACTGAACCATGGGATATGTGGTGAATCCCAAGTATTGATGACGATTTTTTCTCAGTGTAAATACTTTGGAGCTATTTGAATTGCTGGCATCTTGTATTGCTGGTTAGTGAATTTCATTTATCTGAATCAACAATCCCAACATAATTTTCAGCTGTATTAGTGTTTAATTATTGCAATGGAGCTGAGGGTGTGGACTCTCGACTCGATTATGGCTGAACATGGCGTGAGAGGCTTAGCGAAGCAGAAGGCTGAGACGACGAAGAAGACTAATAGAGCTGCTCTTGTTGCTGGGAATTTGGACGACCGCTGATCGCAACTGGTCGCAGAGCGAGTCGTCGTCGTGAAGTCAGGCTTTCCTGCTCGAGTCAGCATCGTACTTTCGCAACGAAATCCTCGCAGCCGGATCCCCTGCGATCGAAAAGATCTCCGGGACTGAAACTGCACCAGCGCCATGCGCACTGGATTGGCTGCAGATTGACTTGTCATGTCTGGTCAGGTTGCCTGACGTTTCAGGCAGAACTACAGATCTCACAACAGTACAGTAATTACTTTTATACAAAAGTATTAGGGAGAATATGCAACAAGTAACCAACTTGGGACTCGATAACGTGAATGGTAAAAAAAACAAACGCGTACGGTCACTGTATCGGGTTTTCTGACGGGCTTGGTAAGCGGGGTCATGGATTCAGTCACTATCAACAGGTAAAAAATCATACGAATGGTCACACATGTAACTCCCGCCAAAAAAACTTGTAACTTGTTGGGTTGAAGAGCACCTTTGGATCTTTGCAGGGGTGAACTCTGGGTAGAGTTGGTGTAGTAGCGGAAGCTTTAATTAAAGGGTTGTGAACCACCTTGCGCTAGTATGTGAGGGCAAAGTAAGTTGCCTAAAGCAAAGAGATACAAGATTATATATGAATATAGGGAATATGAAAAGACACAGTTATAACTACTTTACTGTTGCTGTTGCGGTTTGATACAGTGACGACTCGGGCAACTGCTCTGTAACGAGTCAGTTGTGTGTCCTTGCTGTCACGCTGTATTTGTCAGGTCAAAGGTTGCTGACCTTTGACTTTCGCGTAACCTCCGACAGTTACTTCAACTTCCGAGGGTTGACTCGCTGGTGCCTCGATATGCTTTGCTTCGCTTGTGCCTTGGTGTTTCGACACGACAGAGGCGCTTAAGATCAATTGTTTCCAACACTCCCCTTCGCTTCTGGAGTGTCGGTGCTGGTGACGTGGCTTTGTCCAGTCAGCAACATGCAGTACTCGAACTTCTGCTTTCCGAGCTTCTTGGTCAAGTAGTCAGCTGCCATCTCGGACGTGGGGCAGTATGACAGCTCGAGCCTCCCTTTCTCGATCTCGTCCTTCACGAAGAAATATCGCAGGGCGATGTGTTTCGTCTTGTTCGCGAAGCCGTTCTTGTTGGCGATGCGAATTGCCGACTGGTTGTCGCAGAACAGGGTAAAGTTGGGTAACTCGGCTAACTTCGCTTCTTCCAGCAGCTCGCGAAGATAGAGTCCTTCCTTGGTGGCTGAGCTGAGTGCAATATATTCTGCTTCAACTGACGAGAGAGAAATTAATTCCTGCTTGCTCGATTGCCATGAGATAGGTCCGATAGGTTCGAGGCGGTAGATGTAGCCGGTGCGGGAGCGCCTATTGTCGGAGTCGTCAGCGTGATCAGCGTCGACGTAGCCGATTAACTTAGTCGGTGTGGTTGCGTTCTTGTAGTAAGTTAGGCCGATCGTTGGGGTGCTGACGAAGTAGTGAAGAGCGCGGTCGAGCTCCGCCAGATGTTCTACTTCAGGCTTCTTGAGGTAGGTGGCGAGCTGGCTTGCGGAGTATGAGAGGTCGGGGCGACAGGTGACGGCTGCGAAGAGAAGACATCCCAGCTTCTTCTGGTAGTCTCGTATGCCGGCGGGCTTAAGTAGAGCGGAGCTTCCTTTTTCGTTCCCTGCCGTGTATCGGTATGGCGTGGAGATGGCTGTCGGTGTGAGCGTAAAGCGTTTGGCGATAGTGTCAGCATATTTCTCGGCGCTGAGGTAGATCGCGTCCTCCTCTTCCCGGATGTTGAGGCCGAGGTACTGAGTGACGGTAGATGAAACTGTGAGCGTGAGATCTCGATGCAGCTCCCCTTCGAACCAGGTAGTGATGCCGTCAGTTGAGCCGATGTAAAGAAGATCGTCCACGTAGACGATTAGTAGGATGTTGAGAAGAAGTGAACGAGAATGGATGAACTATGAATGAAGTGAGTACAAATATGAAACCCTAATTGGGTTGTACCCCCTATGGGATACCCCACTATAGCCTACACAAATAAGTAAGCTATAATGTTCTGACACACCCCCATAGGCAAAGTGGGGGAGAACAAGGGGTCACAAGACCAGTCAAGCAAAGCAAAGCAAAGCTCAGGGTGGATCACAAAGTCACCACACATTCCGAGCACAAGTTCAAGGGCCACAAGGCCAGTTCACATGCAAGATCATATATAGAGATATACAAGAGTCAAGCAAACAAGAGCAAGAGTATATATAGGTCAAGGTACAAGCAAGGTCAAGAAGTGAGCAAGTGAGGCAAGACAGGCACAAGACCTAGCTGCGTGCAGCAACGCTGATGATCACAAGGCGCAAGTGCCTTGGTGAAGACATCAGTAGTGTTGGCCTCAGAGGCCACGTACGCAAGTCGCAACTGTCCACGCTGCTGTAGCTCACGAGCAAGAAATTAGCGGAGAGCAATGTGCTTTGTCCTGTGCTCCAGTCGCTGCTCTCGACACAAGGCCAGCATGGCCTTGTTGTCTACGTACAGAAATGGAGGAGAACGAGGCGGCTCTCCAAGGTCGGTCAGCAGGTAGGTGAGCCAGCGAAGCTCCTGAGCAGCCATAGCCCCGGTGTAGATCTCAGCCTCACAACTGGAGCCGAGAACAGAAGACGAGCGAGTAGCCCGCCACGAAACAGAGCCGGAACCAAGGCCGAAGGTGTAACCCTGTGACGACCGCTGCGTAGCCTGGTCGTCAGCCCAAGAAGCGTCCGTGTGCCCAGTGAGGACCACTGGACTGCGCCCTCCAAGCACTAGCCCCATGCCCGACGTACTGCACAAGTAGCGCAACACCCTCTTCGCTGCAGCCATGTGCTCTGGTCGGTGTCTCCCAGGAGCAACATAGCGTGCGAGAATGCAGAGAGGGTATGCAAGATCAGGTCGTGTGCAGGTCATCAGGTACACGAGGCAGCCAACAAGCTCTGCATACGGGCCACTCGACTCTACGGACTCATCCGAAGGCAGAGCTGAGAGCGAGTGGCGAGTAGGCAGAGGAGTGGCCTGAGGCGAGGAGTACGTGAAGCCGAAGCGCTGAAGGACCTGCTGCACCATGTGTGACTGAGTCAGGGTAATGGTGCGGCGTGCTCTGTCCCGGGTGATCTGCAAGCCAAGGTAGCTGCGCAGTTCACCCAGGTCAGTGCACGTGTGTCTCTTCTGCAGCTCGGACTTCACGTAGGCGAGTCCAGTAGTGTCAGCTGTGGCAAAGACCAGGTCGTCGACGTACACGAGGATGTAGAACGGCGGCAGAGAGGTGTCGGTGCGCAGAAACAGCGACGGGTCGGCAGTAGAAGGAGCAAACCCAAGTGCCGCAAGCGTAGTCCTCAGTGTGTCGTGCCACTCACGTGGCGCCTGGCGGAGACCGTAAACTGGACGCCGGAGACTCCACTGGGTGCCAGGAGGGAAAGACCCAGAGAAGCCACGTGGGCGACGCAGCCAGATCTCCTCGTGCAGGCTGCCCTGCAAGAAAGCAGTGCTGAAGTCGAGAGAGTGCAGCTCGTAGTCACGGTGAGCAGCAACGTGCAGCAGTACCCAAAGAGTGGTCATCTTCGGGGTGGGGGAGAAGGTCTGAAAGTAGTCAACTCCCTGCCGCTGACTGAAGCCACGAGCCACGTAACGCGCCTTGAAGACAGGCGGAGAACCCGCCGGCCGCTTCACCCTGAAGATCCACATGCCACTGACGATGTTCGCCCCAGGAGGGGGAACAGCGTCAACGTAGGTGCCTGTGGACTTCCAGGAAGCCATCTCTGCATCCATAGCTGCCTGCCACTGAGAGGAGTAGGGACCCTCTATCGCCTCCGCGTAAGAGCGCGGAGTCGGGATGTCTAGTGCATCCGGGTCTCCCTCAGGGGCGAGCAGTACAGACGCGAGATGAGGTGAAGCGGCGGCCAGACACTGGAACTCCTCCTGCCTGTCCTCAAGGACGTCCGTGCCTAGGGCACACTCACCCCCGATGGACGGGGGACAGGCAGACTCAGACTCAGCGACAAGACTAGCAGCGTAGTCCAGACGACAGCGCGCAGCAAAGTCGACAAGCTCAGTGACAAGGGCAGACGCAGCAGAAGACTCGAAGGAAGGGTCAGTGATAGCAGTAGCAAGGAGACGCGTGACAGTGGGACTGGCAGCACGAAGAGAGTCCGGCTCCGGGTCGGCAAGAGCAGGAAGAGAGGACTCAGGAGGAGAAGGCAAAGGGGCACGCAGAGGAGCAGTGGACGGACGCAGAGACATCCGGTGCGTGCCAGGGACAGGAGGAGGACGCTGACGCGAACCGCGACCACTAGTGCGTGCAGGACGAACAGGCGACGCAGGACGAGACGCAGGCTCATGACGCTCAGTAAGACCTCCAGTCGGACCAGCGTAGGGAGAAGGAGCAGGCAAAGGGGAGGCAGGCTGTAGCTGTGACTGGGACTGGACAGGCTGTGGACCCTCGAAGGGAGGCGGAGGAGGACCAGGAGAAGGTGTAAGACCAAGAACCTGCTGCAAGAGTGGAACGAAGTACGGTCGGGGCCGCGTGGCGACGCCAGAAACAGCAGGTACAGCACCAGTACCTCCAGCAGGAGTACCCGCTCCAGCAGCACCTCCAGCAGCACCTCCAGCGCCAACACCCTCAGCAGCACCAGCTCCAGGAGAACCCTCAGGCCCAGCAGCTCCAGCACCCACAGCACGAGCACCTCCGGGACGTGCGGCAGCAGCACCCTCTGCAGCCGAAGAACCTCCAGCACCAGCAGCACGCCTCCAGCGCCGAGCAAACCACTCACGCAGCTCCTGTTGGGAGAGTGGCTCTCGGCGAGACGAAGCACCTCTAGGCGGAGAACCACCAGGCGAAGAACCTCCAGGCTTAGCACCCTCAGGCAAAGCACCTCCAGGCGGAGCACCCCCAGTCTCAGCACCCCCAGGCTCAGCACCCCCAGGCTCAACACCCCCAGACTCAGCACCCCCAGGCTCAGCACCCCCAGACTCAGTACCCCCAGGCTCAGCACCCCCAGGCGCAGCACCCCCA